ACTGCCCCCTGTTCCCACTGGCACCCTGTCCCTTGCCTCCACTGATACCCTGTCCTCTGCCCCAGGCCCTTGCCCCGGAACCCACTGGCCCTCTGTCCCTTGCCCCAGCCCCTATTGGCACCCTCCCCCAGGCCCTATTGGCACCCTGCCCCAGCACCCCATCCCTTGTGCCAGTACCCCCTGGCACCCTTCCCCAATACCACGTGCCCTGCTCCCACCAGCACAGTTGGGGCCACATTAGTGAGGCTTGTGGGGGGTTTGGAGGAGTTTTTATTTTGCATCTCACTTGTGTGGCCCCGACTGACTTTTCTGTGGGTCACTGACCCCTGACTCAAAACAGTTTCCCTGCCCTTCTCATAAATTAAGACAATGCAGAAACTTTTTGTGTTTGACATAGTATTTTATTTAAAAATGAAGCCTGGCCAACAAACCCCCATCTGCCCACAGCATCATAACACTCCTCCTTCCCCCAGACCCTCGAGCTGAACCTATCATACACTGGAACCCCCTGTCCTCAGCCCCTCATGGTTAATGGTGTCAATTACACTCAGTCAGCTCCCAGGGAGGTGGCTTCACTGAGTCAGGACAGTGAAGCCTCCTCCCTGAGAGCCAGGTGGGCAAAGGCTGCTGCTTCTCTGCTCCGAGGGAGGCTTTGGTGCGGGATCTGCAGTATAAAGCTTAAATAACTAAGATTTCTACTGCAGAGTCCACAACATGTAACTGCTTAGATTCAGTGGTTACACAGTCACCTATGTAACCGACTTCTAACATTCCTAATAAGTAGCAGCATGGTTAACAGATATAATTTTGAAAATAGTGGGTCACTGAACTATTGGTTCTAGAAAAGAAGGTGCTTTTTTATACTGTTAACATTGTAATGTTAACTACGCAAATATTAGAAGACAGATTAGAAAACTATGGTGGGCCTAAATACGTTGACATTGCCTCTTAAAATTTGTTGATAAACAATTTCAGGTTTGTATAGTTTAGCCCTATGCAATTATTACTCATGAGCCAACTTACTTTTCACCTGAAGAGGGTGCTGTTTTTCTAGTATAACTTAGAGGATCTGCTTCTCACTAGTTCCTAATTAATTTTTCATTTGTGCCCATTTGTCAAACACATGTTTTTAAATGCTAACTAAAGACTCAGACAAGCTAGCTAAACTTTACTCAGTCTAAAACAACTGGATGTTTTAGATCCAGCCAAAGTAAAATATTTTAATAGCTTGGGACCTTTATTACTCTGAGATGGGCTAAATTTAGAATGACATTTGGATCTACAGGTCCTAGAAAGGGCAGTTATGCCAGCTGGTTAGAGTAACTAAAACAAACACTTGTGTCATAATACATTCTGATGTCAAAGGCCCATCCTTCCAGCCATAAACTAACATTGTTTCATGTCTTCTATTATTAAATATGCAACATGCACAATCCAGAGATGAAGACTTATTCCCATTCAACAAACAAATCACAGACTAATAAAACCTGCCTCTAAACTGATATGAATACTGCTTATTCCAACAAAAGTAAGTTTCCAGAACAGAAACACACTGCTGTCAGTCTTAGGGATCCAGCAATTTCATGGAGTAGATGTAGCGGAGTGTTGATACATTAGTTTTATCATAGGATGTACAAACCTAACCAGAAAGAAGAGAAAACAGGATGACAGATGGTATCCAGAGTAGGGATGTAATAGTGTAGTGAATTAAACGATTCAACGATAAGGAAAAACTTAAAAGGTTAATGCTATAGACTATACGCATTCCCTGCTCCCATTGCCAGTACATTTTTTAGCAGGCTGGCCAGCAGCCTGGGTCAATCCTGGCTTACGCTGGTTCTGGGACCTATCTCCATTGAGGCTCTGCATTTAAAGTGTATTTGGAGCCAGGCGGAAGGCAGCCCAGCTCACTTCCAGCTTGCACCATGTCTGGGAGCTTGTTATGCTCATTACTTTGCATAAAGCTACATTTTAGTTATATGGCCACAACCTCAGCCCCTCTCCGGACAGGGGCTGCTGCTACCCTGCACTGCTGCCTCAGAGACAGCAACGCGAGGCGACACGCATCCGATCTGCGAGGGGAGCTGGTTTTAAACTTAGATCACCAAACTCCCAGTGAAAGTACCTACTAGAGGATGGAAGACAAAGAAGAGAGTAAAGGAAGGAATTCTTTATGGGCTTTGTGTCCTTCCCACAAAGGCTTCAGAATACAAAGATGGGACTTCATTAAAAAAGGTATGTGAAAGGGCTGGCCTTGTGGCTTAGCAGGGAGTTCTGCATATTCTTCCTTGGGAAAATCAAATAAAAAGTTTTAAGCTAAGTGAGAGTAGGGTGAAAAAAGCATCTTGAGTAAGTATATCTTTTCAGTATCTTCTAATGATAGTGTTACAGGCAGAGGCAACGTAAAAAGAATTTTATTGAGTGGAAAAAGGTAGCAGATACCAAAGACAAGAAAACACTCTGCCACCCACTTTTCTCCTGCCTCTTCCACATCCTATCCCTTTCAAACTTAAAGGAGGTGAAAACCTATCTGACATGCTCTATGGTAGAGATAACCAGAAAGGGAATGATGGCATATACGTATCTATCTACAAGTTCCGTACCATTCAAATTTCACCCTACAAACAAAAATTTCAATTCAAAAGAAGGTTTTGCCTATAGCAGAGGGTACTTCTTAGCATCTTCTACAACACTGGCTAAGAAAACCAGGGGGGCTGGTCTATAGCAGATTTCTTCATCCTTTGCTATTTCAGAGGGGAGGAAAAGAGAGAGGGGAGGAAAAGCCATCATCTTTGACACACGGCAAAGACTGGAAGCACTTGGGTCCTGACCGGCGCCAAATCAGAGAATTTGCCAGACCATGGGAGATGAATATTGTCTAGCAGCATTATCAGCACTTCTGCTGCTCTTATAAAAAGTTTAGGGGTATATTAGTGCTTAACAACAGCACAGAGCCAGGACTAGTTTTTGTAAACAAACTTTAGGGGACCATAAGAAACTTGTCAACACCCATGATAAGTGGGGATCCAGCTAACTAAAATCATGCCAGACCATGAAAGCTGCTGGACCAGAAAGTGCCAGATTAGAGAAGTTCAACCTGTACTTAATACAGGCTGTATTAAAGTTGAATACCACATGAACAACACATTGATTGGAGATTATCCCCTTTCATTAACAATCTTGGGCTTTGGTAAAACACAGAAGTGTGTGTGTGAGTGTGTGAGTGTGAGTGTGAGTGAGAAAAAAACAGCAGTAGTGATCTTGTAACAAATCAATAACTTACTTCATGGCTGCATAGTAAAAGGATCCAAACCATACACTGGATGTCAACAGATGCACTGGAATCATAACTTTTCCATACTGTTTAAAAGTTCTCTTGAATCTCTGAAAGAGACTAATTGATTTGTCTTGTAATGGATCAGGCTCTAAAGAAATTGATTCTACTGGGCTACCATGGGATGCATCACTAACTCGTTTCAAAGGGTTTTCTTCTTTTTGTTCTTTGTGGTAAGTGCCTTCTGGCTGGGATGAATATTCACCCGATGATTTTCCTTCCTTTGAGACACAAAGCACAGCAGATGCATGCAGACATTGTTTTGCAGGGCCCAATGCCAAAATCACTTTGCATCCAGTCTGAGGAAAGATTGGTTTCCCTTGTAAGTGTTGAAGGAAACCAGTGCGATGTGGTACCAAACATGTCCGATGTGCCAGCTGAAACACGGTCTGTATTAAATTCCTTTGCATTTTGATGACCGATGAGAACTGGCTACAGTTCCTAGGGAAAACAAGCAAGAAAAAAGTTGATTTTTCTAACTTAAAAATAGTTCTAATAATTGTGTTTCAAAAGATTAATTTGCAACTACTTCGATGTGACTTTAAAAAGCTGAGGAAACTTTCAAGGGTTAGAAGCATATAAACTTATACTAAACCAGTTAGCAAAGAATGTGATTTCCTTATATACAAAATAAACTATAATTACTAATTGTTCATCCTGTTAATTGAAATCAAGCAGTGACACACCATCAGGGGTGGTTGAGATTCTGTGGCCTGCACTGTGCAGGGGGTCAGACTAGATGATCATAATGGTCCCTTCTGACCTTAAAGTCTATGAATGAATGTCGGAGCTCAGATTCAACAGCAGCATTTCATTGTTAGAGCTGGAATAATGGAATTTACAGCAATTTTGCAGCTATTTCCTAGTGGTACCCATATCATTTTAGAGTTCATGTGTTTAATATACTGGAAAAAGTGTGCTGTTAGATTGTCTTCACAATTGATTTTCCTCTCACTGAAATTCCTCATTCTAATGCTTTGTGTTTAAAAGGGATACTTTCAGCCAACAAATATCACAGACTCACTAATTTGCTCAAACAATGGCATGGTACCCTGTTAGAATGAGGAAAAACCACTTAAAACTACAGCAGTACTGGGTCAAAGAATGTATTGATGATGGAGCGTAGTTTTAATGATCTATATTACTATGCACTAAAATAGTAAAAAAAAAAAAAGTTATGACAGTTTAGTAATTCCAGACTTAACAAAGGAATGCTGCTATTAAATCTGTGCTGATACATGGTGCGTCACTGCTTGATTTCAATAAACATGAAGTAGTAATCAATGTTTTTGAGAGAGAAATTCTGAAGCACAGTGTATACTGCAATGAAGACTTCTCAACACTGTACAACTCAAATAAACTTTTCATTTTAAAATACCTGGCGAGTTTTTCTGAAAGTTCAATAGGAACAATTGAGTGTGTCCAAGCATGGAAATAGTACATGTAGATTCCAGTGTCATGTTAATTGCAAGTTTTAGGACAACAGGTGAAATTTTAACTGTTTTCCTTTATTTACATAACAATAGCATGTTACAGCCCAGCTGAATGGGAACCTCTACCTTAATTCTGCTTATATTAAATGTTGGTTAAGTCAGTTGCTGCTCCACTTACCTTTCAAATCCTCATATTTTTTGAATCTGCCTTTGATAGCCCCAGAGAAGAACAGGTAGTGGGCCCCCACGCACACACATGCTGTGCCTGTCTGGACATGGTCCTCCTGACATTTGGGCAGTGCTGTGCCTGCACTGACTAGTGTCCAGCCCAGTAGGGCCAACTATCTAATTGTGCAAACCGAAAGACCCCTGCAGAACCCCATGCCTTTTCCCTGAGGCCGTGCTCATGCCCCCCTCTTTTCCAAGGCCTCCCCCACACACTCCATTGCCCCCCTTCTTCCAGGGCCGGCCCACAACATTTTGGCACCTGAGGCAGGAAGCTCAAATGATGCCCCCATACCACCTTTTCTCCTGGCTGCCTGTTATGTCTCGTGCCCTCCTTCCTCCAGCACAGCACTCCTCCATCTCTGTGCATCTAGCACAGAGAGAATACACATGCACCAGCAGCAGACACAATTTCTACACTCTGGGTCCTAGTGACACACCCCCAGTCTGGCCACCGCAGTTCGCCTCATGGTAAGGCAAGCCCTGCCTTCTTCCATCGCTTGCTGTCTCCCACTCATTTTCACAAGGCTAGGGAGGTGGTCAGGAGGTGGGAGGAAGTGTGAGGTGCTTACCTAAGCGTCTCCTGGCCAGCACCCCTGCAGCACCTAAGGCAGGCTGGGCTCCTGGCCTGCTACAGACCCAGATCACTTTAAACTGCAGGCTACTCCCTCCATGTGGTTCTCAGTTCTGGGATGGGGAACAGGCTTGCGCGGCACTCATCCCCCTGGCCAATCTCTCGGCTCCCATTGACTGGTTGTTTCCAGTCAATAGGAGCTGAGGATAACTGATAAGATGGCAGCTGTTCCAAACCCCTGATCATTTTTATTGCCCTTTTCTGAACTTTTTCCAGTGCCAAGATATCTTGCAGATGTGATTGCCCCATCTCATGTTATATTCAAGACATGGGTGTACCATGAATTTACATAGAGGCAATGTGATATCCACAAAAAACTATCCACAATAACTAAAAAAATCTCTCTCGAGTGGTAATAGCTAAATTAGTCCCTGTCATTTTGGCTTATAGTTGTGATTAATTTTAATATTGATAAATGCAAAGTAATGCATATTGAAAAATGTAATCTGCCATTTTGTTGCCCAGTCACTTAACTTTGTGAAATCCTTTTGAATCTCTTCAGTCTGCTTTAAATGCCACTATTTTGAGCAGTTTTGTATCATCTGTTTACCCCTTTCTCCAGATCATTTATGAATATGTTGAACAGGCTTGGTCCCAGTACAGACTAAGGATGTTAAAGACTTGTTGACTAGTTGACTAGCCGATAAGCATTTGCTTATCAGATAGTCCTTTGACTAGTCGACCAGTCGATAGCGGCAGCAGCAGGGGGAGGGAGGGGTACTTCAAAGTGGCAGGGCCGCACAGCAGTGCTGCCACTTTGAAACCCCGAGGCAGCTGCTGTACAGCCAATCTGCTGATCAGCTGTGTGACAGGCTGTCCCTTTAAAATGCCTGTGGCATTACCCTGGAACCAAGGATCAGCTGGGGAGTCTCCAGCTGATCCCGGGTTCCATGCGGCACTTCCCCGGAACCGGGGTCAGCTGGGGACTCCCCAGCTGATCCCGGGTTTTGCGGAAATGCTGTGGGGAGCCAGGGGTCAGCTGGGGAAATAACATCAACTAGTCAATTAACCACATTTTAACATCATTAGTACAGATCCCTGTGAGGCACCATCCTCTCTCCATTCGGAGAACTATTTATTCCTAGTCCTTGTTAACCAGTTATCAGTCCATGAGAGGACCATCCCTCTTATCCCACGATAGCTTACTTTGTTTAAGATCCCTCACTAAAGGCTCTTATCAAAAGCTTTCTAGAAGTCTAAGTACACTATATCCACTGAATGCTCCTTGTCCATATGCCTGTTGACCCTCTCAAAGAACTCTAGTAGATTAGTGAGGCATGATTTCCCTTTGCAGAAACCATGTTTACTTTTCCCCTACAAATTATGTTTATCTACCTCAGGGGTCGGCAACCTTTCCAAAGTGGCATGCCAAGATCTAACCCTCCTGCTCTGGGCCATGCCACTCTCCTGGGAGGGGCTTTCTCCACCATGCGCCCCCCCTTGGTCTCCTGCTCTGGGCTCTGCTCCGGCTTTTCCTGTGGAGAGGGGAGGAGCAGTGTGCGCATGCTTCCCCGAAGTCGGATGTGGTTCAGAGCCTCGGGGTTGCCCGCAGGAAGCCAAGATTGTTTCCAATATTGCAAGGGGCACAATGCTGGATCGCAAACACGGACTGGGGTCAGGGTGGCAGTGGGGGAGCGGAAGCAGGGAAATGGGCAAGGTGGGGGCAAGTGAGTGACCTCCAGGGGTCAGGCCAAGGTCCCAAGCTCCCAGGGGCCACCCCCCCAAATATTTTCCTCTCCCCTCAGCTGCCCCCCTCCACCACTCAGGCAGCACTCACCCTCTAGCGCAGTGCTTCTTAAACTTTTTGGTCCATGGACCACCTGGCTTAATGCAAATCTTTTCACAGACCACCAGTTGATAAGGGAAGCACACCGTTAATTACATAACTACAACCAAGCCATTTGGCTAGTGCTGTGGCTTAATTTAAATTATTAAACAGATTAAGTGTTTTAACTTTCTCATGTTAGTTCATCAAACTTCACTTTAAATAAAGTAAAATATTAATTTATGTCTAACACAAGATTTCAATATTTTCTTTATTTATGGCAGGGATGGGAAACTATCAGTAGGGGACCACACAAGTGGCAAACTACTCCACTGACCCCATCGCACCCCAGCCCCCAATTCCCACATTACCTCCTCACCCCAGCCCCTGCATCCTCTACTCCTGGCTACCACCCCTCCCACAGGAGGGGTCCTGGCTCTGTGCAGGGTCCCTATTAGGGATGTTAAGTAACGATTAATTTGCTAGTCGAGTAGTTGATGGAATTTCCATTCACTACTCAATAAGCACTTCTGCCTTTGAAATGCATTTCAAAGTTGGAATGCTGCACGGAGCCCTGGGCCAGTGGGAAGTCCTGCTGACTCTGGGCTCCACACAAACGCTTCCTCTTTGAAATCCACAAGAGCCACCGCTGGGGACTGTTGTACATTTCAAAGCTGGCACACGGCATTGATCTGGGGTCAGTTGGGGGAGTCCCCAACTGATCCCAGACTCTACCTGGCATTTCAAAGCGGCAGCGCCGCATGAAGCCCAGGGTCAGCGAGGGAATCCCCAGCTGATATATTATAGCTATGGTTTTAAAATGTGCAGATGATACTTGGAAGACAGGATTAGAATTTAAAATGACCTAGACAAAGTGAGGAATTAGTTTGAAATCAACAAGATGAAATTAAATAATGTTAAAAGCACAGCACTATGCTTTGGAAACAAAACCAAATGCACATATAACTGATAGACAGTGTTTTTGTATCATAGGATCTGAGGGCTATTGTTGAACACAAAGGCTGTGTCTAGATGGGCAAGTTTTTCCGCCAAAGCAGATGCTTTTGCGGAAAAACTTGCCAGCTGTCTACACTGGCCGCTTGAATTTCTGCAAGAACACTGACTTCCTACTGTCTGAAATCAGTGCTTCTTGCGGAAATACTATGCTGCTCCTGTTCGGGCAAAATTCCTTTTGCGCAAAAGGGCCCGTGTAGACAGCTCAGATTTGTTTTCCGCAAAAAAGCCCCGATCGCTAAAATGGCGGAAAAGCACATCTAGACTGGCACGGACGCTTTTCTGCGGAAGATCATGCCAGTCTAGACATAGCCAAACAGATGAGCCGACACATATATGCAAAGTTTTCTATTTTTTCCATGAAGTATCAGCAGGTCTTTAAATTGGTTATTGAACTATGATGTTAAAATGTGACAGTGTTGACTATTTTGCTAAGTGATTTAACTAGGAAAAAAATCCAGCGGCTGTGTTTGTTCAAGACTGGTCCAGCGTAACATTCTAGAACAGGGGTTTAATTAAAGCAGTGGCTGTACGACAGCATAACATTTGTTAACAAAACTATAGTGTAGACAAGGGTTTATTCTCTGTAGTATTTTCACATGTGGCTGTCTCTTCACTTGCACTTCTAGATCTCCCACTACTGTGCTTCACTAGTACTAACACTAGCAGAGTCTGGTCAGTGGTCACCAACTTTTTTACATAATTGTGTCTAACCTTCGCTTGGTCACAATGTAGTTGTAGACAGATGGATCTAGCTATATCACAGAACCATAATAAAACCTTGGACAAGTTAAGTCCATATCGAGATCTGAATATATTCACTAGGGATGTAAAGGGTTAACCAGTTACCCAGTAAGCATCCTGTTTAACCTGTTAACTTATTAACCAGGATTTTATATTCCTAATATTCACTGCTGTAACTGACTACATTGACAAAGCAGTATTTATAATGTAGATAGACCTTTAGCAGAATAGGGAACATCTTTTTAAAAAGATCTTTAAGTTTTCACAATAGAATTTTGGAAAAAATATTAGACAGTATATAAGTAGAAGAGCTATATTTTATATCTGTGTAGTCAGTTAAAGATGTGGGATGTTAAACAGTAGGTTTCTACTGATTTAAAAAGCATTTCAATTCATCTTTATACTGATGGGATGCAAATTAGCTCATCTGCATCCAACTAGAAGTGACAGAAATACTCCCACCCCCGCCTTTACTTTGACAGGAGTCAGAGATCTTAAGTTCTACATTGTACTTAGTTCTACCTTTTAACACCACACTAAATTAAATCTTCACAGCTTCTTAAAAATACAATATACAAACTCTTTATAGCACTTTCTAGGCTATTACATTTCTGCACCATAATGCAGTCACCGGGGGGGGGGAAGGAGGGTGATAATTCCAAATCCATAGTAACCACTCAGTATCTCTGCTCCTTAATACTGAACAATTATCTTGGCTCTTTTCTTTAGAAGTTTTATTCTGCCCTCTACTGAATCCTTACAGAATCACACTTCAATTTCAGAAGTTATTGCAACCAACTACTAGCATTTATTAATGGCTTCTTACCACATTATATTGTATTAGAAAATAATACAACTTTTGAAAAAAATGGCAGTAGCCAATTTTTTCTTGCCATAACAACATGATGTTTCCTCTGTATCTTCCAACTCCTGGAAAAAAAAGGGGGAGGAAGAATAGGGGCAGCATGAGGAGAGTTTATAATTTGGAGCACCTAAGAAGGGGAAGAAGAGCTGGACATAAAAAAGTTACCAGTTTTATAAGCATACTCGGGGGGCTATGCCCCGTTTGCTACACTCACCAACCCCCCTCTTCGGGGGTAGGCAGCCCTGGCTCTCCTCCCAGCTGCTGGGGAGGGCCAGGCTGAGGCGTGGCAGCATTGTTGCCCCATGGGCGGGCAGCTGCCGGAGGGACATTGAGTCCCGGTTCAGGAGCTGGGGTGACCCCTGCCTCCGATCCTCTCTCTTCACATTGGGCCTCTGCCTCCTCCCCCCATACATCTCAAGCAGAAATTGAAACTCCCAGCAGTCTGCCATGTGGTGGCTGCCAGAGGCCCATCCAGGCCCGGCTGCCACCCTGCCCAGTTCAGGGGCCAGTGCCCCCCTAACAGTGAGCCTTTCCAGCAGCCCTCGCCCACCCTCCCTGCCAGAATTTTTTTAATCCCCCCTAAAGCGGGACTATCTGCTGGCCCCCTTATTCCCTCCCCAGGAGCCCACCAGCAGCTGCAGCTTATCTTCAGTGCTGCTGCTCAGGAGCCATGTGTTCCCTATCCCAGCTGGGTTAGCAGCAGGCAAGCAGGAGGAGATGGGACCGCTGAGGGGGGAGGGGTTGTGGGATGCAGAGTGACATGATGACGTCACTCTGTAATCCAGCAGGAAAACCTTTTTATAGATAGAAAAGAGAATCTCTTACTGACTGAACTGTTAATGTATGCTTGCTGTCTGAGAATGAAACCTGTACCAACAAGTGCAAGTTTATTCTGCTGCCTGGAATATTGTGGGACCCATTGTAACCTCCAAAAATCATATTGAATTCCAGGAGATGAGATGAAAAAAAGTCTGATTGCTAAGGGCTGTACTTCAATGTATAATTACTTCTGCTTCAGAGAAAAAAAAAGCATAGGGAAAAAACAGAAAAGATATCTAAATTAAGATCTAAAAACCAGTTTCTTGGTTACTCTAATGTTCTCTGAGGAAGGAAGATGATCAAGTGGCAGGTGCTGGAGCCAAGATCCACCAAACAGCCAATAGGTAAGTATCTTTAAACTTTTTTCCTTCTCCATTCTTGGCTGGAAAAAATCTCTCAAGTCACCGTACTGGCAGGAATAGAGCTATAAGAGCATTATTTCTGATAGTGGATGACAATCACCAGAACAGTTGTACAACTGTTTGTAATTGTTTAACTGTTACTCGTGGACAATATCAGATTTTGGGTAACATCAGATGGCAGATCCATAGGGTGCCCAGAATAGTTGGCCAAGGAGCATTTCCCCTTTCAAGTCTCCACAAATAACACAGGACCTACCCAGAGCTAATTTTATATAGTAAAAATGTTTTTCTGCACAACAGAAGAAACTTTACCTCTGGAATTGTCAGTGCAGCATGCACTGAATTGTGTTTTAGTGTAGGATCATGAAACAGGCAAAAGGTGTGGTGAGGCATAATTTGTAAGAACTGAAACATTGAGGGTGGGGGAAGCAATTGGGAACAATGAAAGGATCAGAACTCTTCATAGAAGAGTAAAGAGTATTTCCTTGAAACTTAGACTATGTCTACACTACAGGCTTTTTGTGCAAGAACGATTGTTCTTGCGCAAAAACTTGCAGAACGTCTACACTGCACGCATGTTCTTGAGCAAGTAAATTTACAGTAAAGCGTCGGAAAGCGGGGCTTCTTGTGCAAGAGTTATTCCTCTCCCCATGAGGAATAAGCCCTCTTGAGCTGCAAGAGCTCTTCCACAAGAAGGCAGTGTAGACAGGCAACAGGGATTTCTTGCTCAAGAAAGCCCTATGGCTAAAATGGCCAGAGCTTTCTTGTGCAAGAGAGCGTCCACACTGCCACGGACGCTGTTGCACAAAAGCACATCTCTTCCACAAAAGCACATGGCAGTGTGGACGCACTCTTGTGGAAGACCTTTTGCACAAGAACTCTTGCGTAAAACAGTTACTGCGCAAGAAGCCTGCAATGTAGATGTAGCCTCAGAGAATAAGAGGTCACAAATTAATATTTGCATTCAAGTAGCACCTAGAAGCCCCAGTGACACACACTCTAAATAGACAAACAGGCAAAGCAAGCGAAAGAGGTTTAGACAGGACTTCACCATCAGACTATCATCATCTTAGTAAAAGTCAGACAAAAGTCTGTTGAAAATGTAGCTGACCCACTGAAAACCTATGGAAGCTACCTAATATTTTAATAACTTGTTCATCTACTTTAGAGCAAGAATTAGCCTTGGGTACCAAATTTCTTGTGGATTATGAAGAATCTCAAATAGATTGCTAAAAGTTTAGTTCAAGGAAACTGGTCTGAAAGCTCTGATGTGAAGATGGAAAAAAGTATTCTGCTCTTATGAAAAGCAGAGATGAGAGTTGGGTAGAGTAACATGATCAAATAATTCACTACTGAGAAGACACATTATCTGCTCTTTTA